ATTCTTTCGAATTATTCGTCAATCCGGTAAATAAATTTATAAATTATTTGATAAATATCCGTCAGCTCACTTTTTATTTCATAGAATATTCTCTATTTCTTTTTATGCGACATATTCGCAGCATTCGAATCTATGATGCTTATTTTGAAAACCTCTCCTAGGCAAAGCTAAATAGAAGCACAGTTCCATAATCCTGGCAAAATATATCCTTAATAATAAATTGAACATTTGCTTAATCTTGCTTAATGAATTATCTGGAATGAGTGACTGTCTATTTCTCCATATGAATATTGACTCCTTGTTACTACTTAAATCTATGGAATCATTCATTCATATGTTAACTTGGATAATATTTTTAAATCGTTACAACTAAGTGAAATTTGGCACGACGCTTAGTAGTACAAGAGAGTGATTTTACAGGATTCAACATAGGTCTGGCATGGCACCACACTATCTTATGTCTTACCAGGCCAATTTGTTATACTTATTTTAGAGAGTCGTATTTTCAAAAGCTATTTTACGTACTTGCCTTTTTCTCATCTGCGATTAAGAAAAAGCTTTCATTGTCTCTATATTTCAATAGTTTAAGAGAAATCTCATGTGGTCTTACTTAATTTTTTTTTTCTTAACGAAGTCCATATTGCTCACCCCGAATTATATTCATTATTGAGTACGCCATGGTTTACTTTTTCTGAGACGTTTAGCCTGACATAATCATCAAGAAGGCCTTCGTCAATTCCTCTAGAATATGACTGCTAGCTTGGAATTGTTGCAAGATTAAGATCTAGTTCTAATGAGATCCATTACATGGCAAAAGAAAGCTTAGCACTCTTATCCGAAATATCAAATATTATCTCGAGGACCGTGTCAGCATAGTTATACCGTTGTCTTCTGATAAGATTAATCTGTGAAAATCTTTAGGCCTCAATAACTTTTTACCATTTATATTTTTTCCTACTCATTGATAATTTAACTTTGGATACGCTTTGACCAGTGCATCCGTGACTACAAGACTTTGATGGAAGCCTTTCGCCGAATGGACACCACGCGAACAGGCCAAATTACAATCCAGCAACTAAATGCTTTGCTTAAACGCAATGATTTGATATTGTCACCCGATGACCTCTATCATCTGCTCACTGGCTACGACACTAATATGGACGGATTGATCAGTTACTTTGAGTTCGTCACACAGACACTCAACATCTTCAAAGCTAACCATTAACTCACCTTTAACTTTATTTGACTTTAACATAGAGAAAATGGCATAATTTATGATAAACGAATTCTTGTATTGTATTTATCTATTTTACATCCAATCCATCTTGTGAGCAACGTTACTGTGTAATAGTTTAGAAGAGGCTTTGTTGGCAACTTACCAAACGAAACCTTGTTTCTCATCTGTACACCAGGCTCTTATTTATTAAAAAATAAAGACTAAAGAAGACGAGTTTAAATATGTTGTTTACTTTTTACTAGGCCCACTGGAGGTAGGTCAATAAATAGTTAAAAGCAAAGTAGCTACATGTGCTAATGTATATTTGTGTATGCCTCAGTTCTCGTCCGGTCCAGCTGGCATTAGGAAAGGCGTTATTATAGTATTCCTGAACCATTCTAATGTGAATTCAAGGTGATCGCCTTCTACCTCGATCCTATGTATTCTTCCCTCTTCGTTCATTCCTTTTAGACCCAAACGATCCTAAAATCAAGGCAGATATCTAAATTATATGCTTCTGTTACAAGTTAGTTTTCTGTATTTCGAGGGCTTTGTTGTAGAACGGCTAAATAATAAATTGCCGGTCATATAAATTCTCGGGCAAAACATTGTCCTATATACAATGCTCCTAACTCTAGCTAAAAGATACTGGTGCTCAAAAACATCATCAAACGTAAATCTGTGAGAAGTTGCGCATCATCACCGAAAAAGTGAAAATCAGAATTGATAGATCAGTAACTATTGTCCTGTATTTCATTGTCTACTCTACTTCACACGATGAAAGCCAATCCTGTCTTATTCTAAGGATTATGTATGCATCTTGAAATAAAACTTGTTTGCCTTCTTAAATATTATTATTATTCAATATATATAATGGTTATCATCAATTTTGGTACTAAAATTCAAACAATGCAATAGTATAAAAGAGCATATATTCAAATTAAATTACCTAAATTAAAAGCATTTAATATTTTCGGGATACTCTAAATTTGATTTTAATTTGAGTTTTACAAGGTTTGTAAATGCGCTAATATCCTATCTACAATTTCAAGATCAATGTTTCTCTTAAGATATATGCTAGTGATAAATACTGATCAATTTTTTGCAAGACAGCACCGAGTATTTCATTTCAAATTTAGAGACTAGCTATCACCGTGATCAGGCTTTGAATGCTATCGATTATATCGCCTAATAATACTAAAGAATTTGGTCTTAATTTTAATCTTGTTACTTAGAGCAAGATGGCACTGGTTTACACCAAGTTGTTTAATATCACATTTCTTTGAGCTGGCTTGCCATAGGTCAAATTGCCTACTTTTTCTGATAGTTCTGTATTTTGCGGCAAGGATTACGATCCACCATATCAAAATATATTTCTATTCTGTTTATTTTACGTACCATTTCAGTCGATTGGTTGATCTTTAAAGATATTCGTTTGGCCTTCGTTTTATGCCGAAATTGGCATATATTTCTATCCTAAAAGTGTTAAGGTGGGCTTCAAAGGTAAAGGAAGCTTTTGTGATATGGTTAGTAGTAGAAAGATGGAGATGTGGATATCATTTGGAACACGAATACTTCTATAGAAATTAATTGGTTGTTTTAAAAAGACTGATAAATTGAGACACTTTTAAAGGTGCTACATTTTGCATTTGCCTCAAACCAAGAAGTTGTGCTAATACTGAAGTAAATAAAATCTTGCAAGCTAAATTATAAATCTGTTTCTGAATTGCTTGGGATATAGATAGATAGAATTAGATGG